TGCTTATCTTAATTTCTAAATTCCATTTTCCGTTCTCCATACTCGCTGGTGACTGCATGTCAGTTTTCCTCAAATAAGGAACTTGGGAGTCAACTTTGCCTAGTGACTTCTCTTACCTCCTCCATCCACTTACTAAAACCAATGGAATCACCTGTTCTCTCCATTCCAGAGTAATTGTATTGTGTGGATCCTCATCTTCTTTCCTCTCACCCCAACAGCCTAATGCTCTATGTGTTGCACAAATGATCTGATATCTCTGTCTCAGTTTCCACTTCTGCAGAATGAAAATGGTGACACCAATAGAGAATTGGGGTTGAACATGAGAATTACATGTGCTAGAATACAGAGATTGTACCCAACTTACGATGCTTCAACTTCCATTTTTTGACTTTACAATGGTGTGAAAGCAAGGTGCATTCACTAAAAACTATATGTCAGATTTTTATCTTTTCCTGGGCCTGAAAGTAGAATAATTGCTTCCCCACACAGGATGGCACAATGAGCTGCACCTCCTAGTTAGCACTGGATCATGAGGGTTAACACCTGGCATTCTGTAGTCTATGGTGTTGCAAAGCTATGGTGCTTGGTACATATATTCAATATATTTAGGTATTCTAAATGAATTTTGATGTATGATATTTTCAACTTGCAATGAGTTTATCAGGATGTAAACCTATCATAAGTTGAGGAGCACCTATATAAAGTACTTTACACCATATTTGGTTTAATACAAGTGTACAATAAATCCTCTCTATTCTTTGCTGTAAGAACCCAGATCAAATTCTATTATAACCATTGGGAGAGTTATTTTACCCCACAAGCTGTAGGAGATCATATGCCACATACATTTTCAGGCTATAGTGCATTATCTAATTTAAACTTGACATGTAATAGTTACTAAATTAATTAATCTTTGCATTCTTTACAATGCCTGGCATATGGTAGGTGCTCACTACATATTCTCTCAATTGAATTATTCACAATTGACTTGATCTGGACATAATGAAGAACAAGAAGTATCACAATACTTCTGAAGTCATAGAATTTAAATTTTAAAGTGTAAAACATTTCCTTTGGGACTCATACTTAGCAAATTTAGACATTTCTCTTGATTTCATTTGCTCTACAGTGTCAGTTTCCATGTCCTGCCATTCCTTTTTGTTTTCATTGTCATGCATAGCTTAAAATCCGATGTGACCAAAAGCCTAAAATCCAGTTGCCATGTGTGTCGGTAAGCTATTGCTGCATAACAAATGCAAAATCTCAGTAGCATATACAAGATGTATTTATTGTTTGTATGTCTGCAGTTTAGGTAACCTGCACCAGACTTGATTGTGCAGCTCTACTTTAAGCTGCAGGTCTGACTATACTAATCCTTTCACTAAGGATTTGCTTCAGTCTGTCCATATGTATTTATTCTGGAGCCCAGGCTGAAAGGGTAGGTGCTGTCCAGAGCAGGTCTTCTTTTGGCAAGGGCAGAGAAGCAAGAGTGTGAATAGAAATCTATGCTGATTTCTAATGCCTCAGGCTGGAACTGACCCATTCCGACATTGCCCCAAGCAAGTCACAGAGTTAAACCCAAGATCAATCAAATGGAGGAGATAAGTGCTGCCCACTCTCACAAGTCTTCAAACTCAATCAAGTATTTGAAACAAATGCCCATGATTATTTCCCATTTCTCTATACCATGTTCATGTTTTGGGGACATATCTTCTATTTCTGTATATTGGATAAAAAATGCTCATTTCTACTATGGATTATATTATCAGTAGTGAAACTCACAGGTGATGACACATGGTCATATGACAAAGGACATGAATGTACAAATCTAATTCAGACAGGACAAGAATAATTGTTACCAATGATTATATTTATCATATCTCTGTGATGACTATGGTGACTCTGTTAACTACATTGTCCCTAGGCAATCACAATAGCCTCTTAGTTTATCTCCTGTGTCTGATCTTCCCTACTCTCAGTGCCCCTCCATTTTCTTTACAAAGTGCTACCAAGTAAACCTCTGCAAACAGAAATATGATTATAATGTATACTTTACTAAAAAATAACAACTTCCTAATGCCATACCATGCAAATGATAGAATACCCAGTTGAAAATATCTCACATAACATGAAATCTGGAGAAAATGTTTTAGGGTTGGTTTAAGTCAACTTTTTTGTTACTTTTTTTCTTTTAATGAGTTAGTTCCTGTTCTCAAGCTTGTTGTCTCATGGTGATAATATTCCCGCCATAGCCCAAAGCATAACATTATTGATAAATGGTGTTAATAGTGGGAAGAAAAAACAGACACAGAGAGAGAGAGAGAGAGAGAGAGAGAGAGAGAGACAGACAGAGAGAGAGAATCCATTTTTCT